ATCCTCACATGCAGCTCCAGGACTTTGAGCATGTGGCATGAAGGCCCAGGCTTCGCTCTCTCTGAGCATGCAAAAGTGGCTGGGATAGTTGGACCAAAGCTGAGCAGGGGGAGCTCCCAGCCCAGGGAGGATCATTGCCCATGGGATGGACACAGCCCCTCTGTGTCCATCCACTTCAATGGGGCAGCACCCCGGAGACTTCCATCATCCAGATAGGAAATGAAGCCCAAGGTTCACATTACTTAGCAGCTGCCTTCATTTCCTCCCCCAGGGCCCTTTGGCCACCTCTCGCTGCATCGATTGTACCCAATCCTTGGACAGGCGCATACGTTCCCACTCGCTTTGCATGGTCCGTTCTGGGTTCTGAGGACAACCCATTGCTACGGTGGACGTCATGGTGCACCGTGAGCTGCACCAACTGCATCTGCTCTTCACCAGGCTTCGTCGTGAGCTACTGCAAAATCAAGGATGGATAATTGCCAAGACGAGTGTCTTTGTCCAAAACTCTGGGCCAGCGTCCACAGGGGACCTCTGCCACTGTCAGCACTAAGCTTGCACCGGCCTGGTACTGGACCAGGGCTTGAGCACGCTCGGTGCAGTACTAACAGAGTGAAAGGCTGGCTCCTGCCCCAGAGAGCTGGCCATCTAAGCATAATGCAGAGACAAATATCACGGAGCAGGGAGAAAGGGAACCGGATGAGATGGCACGCCTATACTGTGTCCCCAGAGCTCTGGGACAGGGGCACCCGTGCACCTGCCCCTGGCTCACACCCATCCAACCTGGAAATAATACCCCCGGAAGGAGAGGCATGTCTCTGCTTGGTGCCTCTGAGCAGGTAGGGGTGCTGGGGGCATGCTCGAGGGTTCCCAGGCCTCAGCTTTGGCTGCAAGACTGGTACACCCGTTTAACTGCCAGGTCCCCTGTAGTGTCAAAGGGTTTTTAAGGGGCTGAAGCAAGGCAAACTGAGTCTAGGCCAAGTCTTGCTCATCACCAACATCGCAGGGCTGTACCAGCCCAACCCGAGATAGCAGCACCCGGAGAGCTCAGGGCCCGGGTCCAAGGCTTGGATTCAGACCCACAAGCACTGGACCTCCGATCTCCTCCTCTCCTGGGCACCGCGGGTAGCCGCCCTCCCAATGTCCCAGTTCTCTGGGAGGCGGTTTTCAGACGTGCCTTTTGTGCGCGTGATGTCTCAGCTCCGGGGGTGCGCATTGAGCCCGGCTCAGCTCCCAAGGGCCGGACCCGTTCGCCGTGAAAGCTGGAGCCCTCCCGCTCGTTCCGTTTCAGTGGCCGCCTACGAGCAGGGGCACAATAGCTCTGAATGAGAGGCTCTGGGAAACCTTGACACAAGGGGATTCCTCCAGGGCCTTCAATAGAGCCGGGCTCTTCAGCCGGCTAAGACAACGGGAAGAGGGCGGTGACCACGCAGCTGCGGCTGTTTTGTGGAGAACCCTTCCTCTCGCCCGCGTTCAAACTGATTCTTGTTGGAAAAAAAAAATCAAAAGGCTCCTCTTGGGATTAAGTACTGTCTCACCCCAGGCCAGGCCGGTGAGGGCCCCCCGGCCTTGTCCCCTTTGTGGAGAGCATTTAAAAGAGGAAGAAAGAAAGAAAGGAGGGATGGAAACTCTGCTCCTTTGAAGCCGCCAAAACCCATCGCTTGGAGCATCATCCGTCAGACCCGGCCCGTCTCAGCCGCCGACTCCCACCGTTCATGGCAAAGAAAAGCTGGCTCAAGGCCTCGCCCGCCAGGGAAGACCAGGTTGGAAGCAGCTCACTGATTTGTCTTGCATTTGACTGAAGCTTGTCGGAGCTGGAACGCAAGGAGAAAAGCCGTCCCAGCGCTCTCAAGTTGTGGGAGGAGGAAGGCGAGGGAAACCGGACTCCTCGGCCCTGTTCCTAGCTCTGGGGAGGACTGCAACAGTTGGAGCAGGGAAGACCCGAGAGTCGGGACGCCTGGGTTCTCTTCCAGGGCAGCAGGCTGGATGTCAGGACGGCTGGCTGGATGTTCACCGTAGCAGGATGTACCAGGATGCAGAGCCGTGGCAGACGTTCAAGGCTGGCTCCAGCATCCCCCATCAATCACAGACGTGACAAGCGGGTGGGATGATCCATATACACAGGAATGCTACGACGGTCAAAACACCTGAGTGTCACTGGGCCAGAGGCCACATCCGGAGCCTGAGCCTGGATTCCCCAATTCCACCGAGAATTTGACAGTGCTGCTGGGTGAGAGAGAGAGAAAGATCATGAAAGCACATCGAGCAGCTACGTGGAGGGGGAAGACAGCACTGATCTCATTCTGTCCAGGACAGGACCCTTCCAGGGGATGCAAAGCCCCCTCTTTTCTCCTTTGGAAAGGCAGAGTGCTAGTGTCTCCTGCCCCAGCAATCAGGAATATCGGGATAGAGCTGTCTCCAAGCCAGGTCTGCGGCCTTGGGATGCTTGGCGAGCTGGAGGATAGTCCACATGTTGGATGCCTGCTCCGACCCAACCGCCCTTGGGCCACGATCCAGGCTGGAACGAGTTACTCTGCCACAAGCAGCACCTGGCCGTGGACCTTGGTCCAGACCAAAAAAGTACCCCAGGCAACGTCTCTGGACACCCAAATGATGGGATCAGAGAAGCCAACTCCCTCTGCCAGCTTACAGGGCCCCTCGCTCATCCCCCTACCTGGCCTTCATCTACCCCTGCCCTCCAGGCACTCGCCAAGCACTGATGCAGCTGGCCCTGTCTGGCTGGGCCCCCATCTAGCACAGGCTCCTGGCACGGTCAGGCCAGTGCCAGGCTCCTAGGTGCCAATGCCATCACGTGGCCAGGAGGGGAGGGCTCTCCCTGGGGATCCTGCTGACAGGCGGCTCCGAGGAGCCGTTGAAGGAGAGCGGGAGATGATGAAGGGGTGCAGAGCGAAGGATGGAGAGCAAAGTGGCACTGTCCTGCATTGCTCCAATCCAGACACCCATCAGTGGACAGGGTGAAAATTGCTATAACAACATGGGAGAGCAGGGGATATTCCCCACCCAGCAGGCTGCCGGTTCCCACGGCCCTGGCATATTCGTCACAGATCTTCAGGGCAACCCATGACCCCACAGGCCCACCACAGCCAGCTCGTAGCTCCTTCTGCGTGGAGACTCCAGCTAGAGGGACAAGCTGCTCAGTCCTGATTAAAGCTCCTCCAATGACCTGCTGGGAGACTGTGGGCACCTCTCCTGCCTCAGTCTTCCCCATCTGTACAATGGGGATAATGGCCCTGACCTCCAAAGTGCTTTGAGGTCCATTGACAGAGAGTTCTCTAAAGACTGAGACTTAATTAAAACTCCCAGGTGGAGCGGGACTGCCAGCAGCTGAGCAAAGATTCCCACACAAAGGAAGATTTCCTAGCCGCAATTTAGCAGCATCCTGGTTTTTGTTCACTCTCTCACGGTATCACACCTTCCCCATTCCACAGCTTCCCTGTCTGTCAGCCAAGAGATCCATATTCTCTCCAAGCCCAACGTGCTTTGGGATTTGAGAATGAATCCCGCAGCCAGGGACCTTTCTTTCTCAAAACTAGCCACAGTTAAGCCCGGCTGCTAACCACTAATTGCTGCTGCCAGCCTGCCACTGCAGCAAATGATTCATTTTGCCGTGGTTTCCAGCTGTATAATGATGCAGACCTCTGTGTAGGGCCCCGAGCTCTGTGCAGTGACGGAGAGCTACGGGAGAACCAAGGAGGGTTACTTTAAAACCAAAAGCACCCTCAAGGCTTTCCCTGCATTAAGCCTAGACAGGTTTGCACTGATTAAACTAATCAAGACTTACAGTTGCTTGTGATTAGCTCAGCAAGCTCCATTAGCGTCCTTCTTTGGGGCTCCCAGGGCATTTTGTACTGTCAAAGCAAGGCCCTGTCGTCGTCCCCCACCCCTGGAGCCGGCTCTATCCCCATGTCTGTCACTGCCTCAGTTTCCCATTTCCCTCCTGCCTCAGTTTCACCTTCCACCCCAGGTCTGCCTGAGTGACTTTAAAAGGTCTTTCGGGCGGGGGCTCTGTTTTATACCTACGTTGCTTAGCTCGATGGGGGCATGAGCAGCAATCCAACTGCAGTAAAAAGAGAAGTCACGGGTCCCATGAGAACAACCCACAGGGCGATGCCGCCCTACTTTCATCAGGCTGTTGACTTTGAGCCAGGAGCTGTCACCTTTCCCACTGCCTCTGCTTGAGACCAAGAGGCTTCAATGGAGCAATTTAGTCATTCACAGGTTCATTTCCTTGCATCACTGTCCTGCCAAGTGATAATGTCCTGCCGCCAGCTAAGGAGCAAGGCTGCCTTAGAGCACCGGGTTTCAGCAGCTGGCTGTCACCTCTTTCTGACGCTCCGGTGTGGGGATGGACCCTTGGGAGACATTCAAGGATGTGTTTGGTAGCTGTGTTGGTCCTAGACAAAAAGAAATGCAAAACTCAAGAGCTCTTGGTTCAGAGAGGATACCTTTTATCAAGCCTCACAGGGCTGGTAGTAGGCGAGCAGAGGTCAGCAGAGCTGGGCACCACGGGTGTGCAGGGAGATTGTCAGAGGCTGCTGTGCTGCTAGGGATGAAGATCCCTTCAGAACCACGTACAATGGACTTAATCCCTAGTATCCTAAACAAGTTCCCACCAGTGCTTTCAATGGCATCAAGGGTCCCTTGTTCACTCGAGGCCCTGCTCCATACTGTTACAGAGGGCTGTTAACCAGCTGCCACCTTCCACCCCAGAAGTGGCTGCATTTCAGTAGCAAGCAACACACTCCCTTGTGCTGTCGCATGTAGAGCCATTGCACTCAGACTCGCTGAGGCTATTTGCTATGTAGAGAAAACATATAGACCCCGCCACACACACACACACACACACACACACACACACACACACAGATGGGGCCTGTGCCATACCACGCTGGATCTCAGCTCGCAGGACCAGGAAGCATGGCCGTCCTCAGTAGCCATCCCTCTGATCCGTCCCTGTATTGTCTTCCTCTCTCCCCCTCCAGACATCGTGGAGATCCGCTCGGTGCGTGTGGGTGTCGTTGCCATCAAGTCTGTGCACACGGGCTTCTACTTGGCCATGAACAAGAAGGGGAAGCTCTACGGGTCGGTAAGTACAAAGCTGCACCTCTTCTTTGGCCTTCGTGTGTCGCTCGCGGCACTTGTGGTCTGTAGCTCCCTCCTGGCTGGGAATCGGATTGGGAACCACGAGCCCGGGGTGTAGACGCTGGCAGGGCCCCGTTCCAGGATGCTGTGCCTGATGCAGCGAAGAGTGGGCCCACATTGCAGGAAGCCCTCGCTCTTGGGGGAGGGACTGTAGTGGGGCAGGTGCAGGGGGGGAGCACAGTGCCAGAGGGGCTGGGAGCAGACCCCAGGTACCTGCCTGGTCCCTTGTTGTAACTGCTGCCTCCCAGAGCCATGGGCAGAACAGGGCAGTCCCTGGCAGGGCCCTGGTCTCAACCCCAGACCCCCTTGGCCTCCAGGAGCTGGGGGTTGAGAAGCCAGAAAGTCCTGACTCCAGTTCTCATGCTCTAACCACTAGACTTACTCCCCTCCCAGAGCAGAGGACAGATCCCACGCTCCACATCCCCGCCTAGAGCTCAGGGGAGAATCCAAGAGTCCCGATGAGCTCGCTCCTGGTTTAAGCAATTAAATCAGAATCACTCAAGCACCAGGAGCCCAGAACTCCCCAGCAATGCCCCTTAGACTGGAGAGAGCCCCCAAATCCCCCGCACTGACCCCCTCTCCCCGTCTCACCAGCGGGCATACAACCCCAACTGCAAGTTCAAGGAGCGCATCGAGGAGAATGGCTACAACACCTACGCCTCGCTGCGCTGGCGGCACCAGGGCCGCCAGATGTTCCTGTCGCTCAATGGCAAGGGGGTGCCTCGGCGGGGGGACAAGACGCGGCGCCAGCACCTCTCCACCCACTTCTTGCCCATGCTCGTCTCCTGACACCTGCTCATTTTATAGCCGGGACTTCTTGTTGCTATTTATTTTTAAATGAAAGCACAGGGTGAGGGGGAAACTCCCCTTCCCCGGGCACTGGGAGATGAAGGATTCCTACAAGTGCTGCTTCGGAGCTAGCAGTGGGTCACGCTAGAGACACCAGCTCCTGCCTGGAGACCTCAACTCAATGTAGACCCAGGTTGGGTCATCCCAGAGACACCAGCTCCCACCTGGAGACCTCAACTCTACACTGACCCATCATGGGTCATCCTAGCGATCCTGCCTGGAGACCTCAACTCCATATAGACCTATCTTGGGTCACGCTAGGAGACCCTGACTGTACGCAGCCCCTTCTCGATGGCTGACAGCCCGAGTCTCATGCAGCAGGTCGCAATGAAATGGCCCAAAGATCTACGAACAACCAACTGTACTCAACATCCCCTCCAAGAGAGTGGAGAGAGCAGAGAGAAACCACAGAGGTGGGAGCAGCCAGAGACTTCGGGGGGCTTTTGATTTGGTTTTCAGATGTATGTGTGCTTATATTTATTGTATCTTATAAGGCCCATGGAAATTAAAGAGGTATTTCTTACAGTAACCCGGGGCTGCACCTTGGCCAGAGGCAATGCTTGCGACACCTGCTCATGCCGGTCTGGGTCCTGTGGGCACGGTCAGCTGCAAGGCCTTCTGTCAAAGCTGCCGTTGTGCGGAGGAGGGGGAATGCAGCCGTTTCTGGTGTGGAACGCGGTTACAATCCGAGCACCTTCCTGGAGCGGTAGGAGAAGCTCGAACCGCCTTTGAGGTGCCTGTGAAATGCTTTGCAAGGGTCAGATGTTAGCTGAGGGGAGCACAATCTAAGGGGAGCACAGGCAGCCAGGATGGGAGTTTGCTCAGAAGAGCGGAGCCAGAGGGTTGCTGCTCCAAAAAGCAACAGGCTCTAGAAAGAGATGCCAGGAAACGGGAGTCAGTGGATCAGGAACAGCAGGGTCCCCCCATTGAAGAGCAAGGGGTGACCCTGCATTCATGCTGGCATGGCTGAAATGAGCACGTAGGCCATAGATGGCTCTACAGCACCAAGCGGTTAGCAGACAGGCCTGCACGGCTCCTGCCGTTCACTCAACTGTCCTGGTCACCCCGAGGAGGGAGCACAGACACTAGGGAAAGGGGAAACCAGGTCCCTGCTCGAGCTATCACTTGCAACCGGAGTCACTTGCTAGAAGGAACAAGGACTAGAGAAGCGCTGTGATAAGATAGCACGTGAGTCCAGGGCTCACCCACAGCACAAACACGTCCCAAGAGGCCTTGGAAAGGCAGGGCCCGAGGGATGGGTCTGCTTTGACGGCAGTCCCGAGGCGTCTCCCCAGTGCTATGCCCGAGCACTTGAACTTCATCCTCAACAGCACTTCCGCGAAAGATAAGGGCAAGTGCAGGGGACAAAAGGGCCAGAGCACAGTCCTCTGCGGCAGGAGTGGAGTTAGCGACAGCCAGGTCTGGATTCCCGTCCCACCCAGGAACTCGCGTTTCCATCCGAGTGTCCCTAAGGGACAAGCGCTCCCATGGCCCTGTTTGGCCTGTAAGGAAACTCCCTTGCTCAGCATCAGCAACAGGAGCTGGAGCTGTAATTTGGGACCCCTTTGTTCTCCACCTTGCACGCAAAACCTGTACTGCAGCTGCAGCCTTTCCCCAACACTTGGCCCACGACTGACTCTCCCCCGGGCTGGCCTTCCTGGTCCGGCCAGGGGCACGCAGACAGAAGCGGGGAAGCCAAGAGGGTTTTCTGATGCGAGATATAGGCAGAAGCACAGGCCTGGTCCTTGTGGGAACTAGCTGTGTCAGAGTGATCCCTGTAAAGCTGAGACATCTGGGGAGCACAAGGTGGGGGCGGTAAACCGTGGCATCTTGAATGTGAACAAACACACGCCTATTGCTGAACCCCAGACCCCTCCAGACATGCTGGGGTACCCGGTGCAGCAGCTAAGACCCAGTGGTCCAGGAGAGGGTAACATCTAGCAATACAGCAAAGTCTCCAGTCACAGCCCAGTGCTCTCCCAGTTAGACCACACACCAGGAAGCCTAACTGGCAGCCTTCCCTGAGACACAGCCCAGCCTCCTTCATGCCACAAGCTGCTGGCACGTGGACGGGGCGCTCTTCAATGTGCTGTTGACAGTCTCCGGTGCCAAGGTGGCACTGGGCCATGCCCAACACATCAAAGACTCTGCTGTAATCTGGGAAAACGAGTTGAAGAACAGCTGCCTGGTGCTAATCACTGCACTGCCCGCCCTGGCAGCACTTCCTAGGCCTGGAAGAGGCGGAAGGAGAAATCCCTGTGCCACCTCTACTCAGAGATGGCAATTCCCAGGAGCAGCCTGGCTTGCCCGTAACCAGAAGGCAGGGCAGATATGCCCCTTTCTAGACTAACCAACTGAGATGTATAGAGAGGACAAACTTTTGTCAGCCTCTGTAGCCACCCAAGCCTCCACAAATGACTGGACAGAAGCTTCCTCTGAAGAAACCATTTGGGCGAATGAAGCAACCTGGCCGGTGAAAGACGGTGCGCCAGCTGGAACCAGAAGCAGCCCGAGCACGACAGCCGCCTACGCAGGCCTCCGACAAGGCACACTGCTACAACACCCCTTCCGAGCCCCAAAGTTGCAGGGTCATTTTGCAACACCAAAAATGCACGCTGGCCTGAGCAGAAACCACCGAACTTGTTCCCTTTGTTACCAAACCAGATTTCAAACCCGTCTGCGCTCCAGAGAGAAAGCGTGTGCATTAACCCTGTTGTGGCTGATGCTAAACAGACCCGGGTCTTGCATCACACCAATAAGGACTAGGAGGTCTGGAGAGGCCTCCGTGATTAACCCTTCTCGCACGCTGCCATGCCGTGCGTGCCTCCAGCACCTCCTTTCTAAGGATGTCCAAGTGCATAAATACCTGCATGGTACCTCCATGGAGGTAGAAAGTCCTCCTATTGTACAAGTAGGAAGATGCAGGCACAGTAAGCACGTAGGATCATAGAAAATTAGGGTTGGATGAGACCTCAGGAGGCAATTGAGTCCAACCCTCTGCTCAAAGCAGGACCAGCCCCAATTAGATCATCCCAGCCAAGGCTTTGTCTACCCAGGTCTTCAACACCTCCAAGGATGGAGAGTCTACCACCTCCCCTGTTCCAGTGCTTTACTACCCTCATGCCTCAGAGGTCTGTCTGTGGAGGAGGAAGCAGTGCTTTTGGTCTCCCGGGCATATACTTCAATGCCATGGCTTCTTCTATCCATCTTGATCTCCACTCCATGCTTCCTCGGCAGCAAGCCTGCTAGGTGTGACAATAAGCACAGCAGACCTGCTGACCAAGCTTCTGGCTCCTCATCCAGCTAAAGCATCAAGCCACCAACCCTGATGTTCCAGTCCAAGAAAACAACCTCATCGCAGAGGCACCAACCTCTGGAAAGATCAAAGGAGCCACTGACCTACACTTGTCAGGCTGGCAAAGGCGACTGGAGAAACACGTTCCAAGGCTGCTGCTCAGGCCTGGATCCCTTTGGCTTCGCTCCATCAGACCCAGCTGCTAGAAGCCCGGACGGGGTTTTGGCAGCCGCTTGCTGCTCTCCACATTGGGGATCTTCTCCAAAACATTTTAGCAGCTCATTTTTTTTTTTAAATCACGGCAGAGTTTAAGAGGCCCTGGGCAGACACAAGGGGCAAAAAGACCCCTGCACTTCTATCCTCCCTCAGAGAGGATTCACGTTGCAGACCTGTGCTTGGGCTTTGAGGCAAAGGCATCCTTAGACTTTCCCCACCACATAACCAAGCTAAGAGGGGCTGTCACCCTAAACGTGATGTAACCTAGTGAACTAGAGGGAGTGACTGCACTTCAAGCCAGATTTTCCTGAGCTCAGTACCCACAAGCTCGCACCAAGAACACCTGAAGCCCTGGCCGCATGCCTACACAGAAGCAGAACTCTTTGAAGAAACCTATACTTTACGATAAGGTCCTGTTACCCTGATCTGATGGCAAAGAGGGGTCCTCGATCCTTTGCAAAAGCCTTAGATGCTACCGCAGTACAGTCCATTCCTACCACGTGATGTTCAGACCCCACCTGTGCTTTCATGGTGCAGGTCTTTTATCGGCAATGACCCTGAGGTTGTCCCTTCTCAACAAGGCAGGGCTAGAATTCTTTCTCCAATGCATCTCTAACCCATCTGTGGTGCGCAAGGCACATCGGGCATTTCCCTGGAAAATCTGGGCGAGAGGCAGGGTGAAGATGAACGTCGGAAGTGTAGAAGACACCCTCCAGAAGTGCTGCAGCAAGTTCTGGCTCTCCTGGCCCCTTACGGGCAGTCAAACACAAACAGGAACCAGGTCAAAAGTTACAAGAGCAGGAGGCAACCGAGAAGGGAGATCAGCATGCTTAAAACAATACCACTGACCCAGATGGCTTCACACGGCAAGTCGGCTTTGTGGTATGTCACCGGGACTGATGGCACGGGTGACCGATTGCTCAAGTCACCCTGCCCTCTGCCCTGCCCTGCCGTGACACAAACTGGGGCATCAACACGGGGCTGGCATCCCCATAGTCTCTGCTCCTCCTTCATTCCACAGCCCAGCTCCTTCCTGCTTGCATTCAAAACCGTTTAGACCACAGCTGAGTTTCTGTGCTTGAGTCATTACAAGAAACTCCAGCGAGAGACTGCTCTGGAAGCTGAGCAGTCACAGACAACAGAGCTCATTAGACAAAGGGGCAGAGGCAGCTTTATGCAACGGGAACCAGTACGGAGGGCACAAGGAAACTCCAGCTGCGATCAAAACACAGCCCGAGAGGTTCTGTCCAAGTCAACAGAAGGGGGCACTGGAAATATACTGTGGAAGTACAGGGATGGTTCAAACTGATGTTTCCAAGAATTAGAGTCAAATCCCCACTTGTCCCACCTTGGTACTTATTGGCCCAGCAGACGATAAACTGGGTGCAATGAGGACAGGAGGCAGGTGGGCATTTGTTCACGATCACGAACTGCAACAGGGTTATCAAACTCCTCAAGCTCACTTTTGCCTTTACAATTGATGTCCTACAGCAGAACGTGTCAAACATACAGCTATAGGGCAGCTCTGCTCTGTGACTTACCTTATTACTCGGCCCTCCAGCTCATTCACAAATCTGGGAAAACCTTGTAGCCCTCTCTGTTGCAGAGATAAGGATTTAACTGATGCAGACAGCTCCAATACATAAACCTGCAGACTGCCCGATCCAGGGACAGGAGCCAGTTATCACTAATCTCAGTGTGGTGTTAACTCAGACACTTTAGACAATCAATGCTATCTGCTTCACTGCTGGGTTTAGTTGCTGGGAAGGGGAAAGGAAGGGATTGACTGTAACGGAGAGGTGGGGAGCCTGGAGTCACCAAAAGGAAGGGAATGCACCAGGGACAAAAGGAGATTCCCAGAGAAAAGTGGAAAGAAAGGGAGAAAGCACTGGTCCTAACATGGACAATGTTGCTTCCCTGCTTTTTGTGGCAAGAGCCAAACAGGAGCCAAATTATAGACTGGATTCTCCCCTCGGCCTCTGTGCAAATGGGCATCACAGACCCAGGGCAATGCAGGGTCCCAGAATCCACACCCTGAACCAGTCAGAGACAGATCAGGCCTTTGACCCATTTGCCCTATACCCATAAAAAGCCTTCCCAGAAATGCTGGTTTAGTCGGGTAGATGCACAACTCATCCAACTGTCGGGACATCCCCTGCGGAAAGAATAGGTGACAGCCCGCAGCTGGAACGCGTCACCCTTATCATCCCAGCACAGCTCCCAAAATATTTTCCTGGTCTCTTGGCTCCACCTAACGGCATCATGCAGAACTGCCGCACGGAGTCGGCAGGTTGACAACAGCAGCAAGGGTCTACCTGGTAAAAACCTAACATGGGGTATTATGATCCCAGCACTCGTTCCTGCCCAGGGCAGGGGGTCGGACTTGATGATCTGTTTAGGTCCCTTCCAACCCTAGAAACTATGAAACACGCCACTTGGAGGAAGGGTGTCTTGCCACAAGGCCCCATCCAAGAAAAGCTTCTCTAGCAGAATTCCTGTCCTGCTTCATGCATGCACTTCTCTGCAGACCTTTAGTGCACACTGCATCACACGCCCCACCCGGGATCCCAGCTAAGCCTCCAGGACTCCTTGGAGCCAAACTGATCAACACTGCCAGCTCTCATGAGTAAGATCAGAGAATCCCGAGTTCTGCTTCAGAAACTCATGTCTGTCTCCTTCTTCTAAGACGCACCACTCAGCATCTAGGATTCGGAACAGATTCCCTACCTGGGTCCCTTCTTTGCTTGCTCAAAGCACACTGAACACCATGCCACCTTCCAGGGGGATCCTTGGAATCTGTCGCTCACATAATCCTGAAGTTGTGTTTGTGGCGCAGCTTCCCCCCGGAAGCCCGTACACGTTGCTTTTATTCATCAGGTCAGCCCGGAAAGCCCTTACAGATGCTGTACAGGTTTCTTCACCGAAGCTTTCAAGTGATTGAAACAATCAATGAAAAGCATCCTTCCCCCAACCCGTGAGAAGGTAACTTTGAGCAAACCTGAATTCTCTTCCACCCACCGCAGAATGAATCAGCTTTTAAACAAAAATGCCACACACAAACACACACACGGTAGAAACCCCTCGGAAGAGGAATACAAAAACAGTTCTCCCCACCCCAATTAAATCTAGTTAAGGAAACGGATTCACAAGCATGCCTGGAAGGTTTTAAATCAGCTGTATTTTTTTTTTAAGTAGCTTTGATATACACATTTCTTCCCCTCCCCTCCCCCACCCCCCCAATGTCATTCATCATGTATTTTATGTATTTCATTTGATCACGATGGCATCTGTCTGTTCCTCGCTCTGATGCACTTCCAGGCCTGATGTCAGACGCTCCACACGATTCCATCCGGGATGAGAAGGGCCGGATTGCGACCGGGCAGGATGGAAGGGATGAAAAAATACAAAAAAACTGCAGGCCAGAACGCTGCAAAGTTGCAGTCCCGCAGCTGACGACGATTGACAGGCTGGCAATGTGTGTATGGGGCGTTGGTCACGGAGGAACCCGGGGTTAAAGAGGCATTGGGTGCTGGCAGACGGCACACTGCCGAGGGTTCCACAGTCCCAGTGCAGACTGGATTTGCACTGGGAAAGTACAGTACTCTCAGAAGAGTTTACCCTGTATTTTTCCACAAATCATGCGTAACTTCTCAGTGAGCTGAAACGTCCATTTATTTAACAGCAGTAATAATTTAAAATTATAAAAACCCTTTCAGTGTCGAATATCAGAAGGGTGAGGTTATCGAGAGAAAAATGAAGGATCAGAGGCAGGGAAAGGGAGGAAGAGTCGGGCCTATTTCAGGACTTCACATTTTGCGGTGGCAACTAGCTAACGCCTGCCAGCCCTCCCCGCCTGGAAATCCTGGGAGCAAACCAGAGTATTACACTTTCATTTCAAAGGTTTAAAACTTCCAAAGCAGAAGGGGAGGCAGGGAGGGGGGAAAAAAAAAAAAAAAAGACGACGTGGAGAAAAAGGAATCTCAAATTCACAACCATACAAACAGCCTTCCCATCCAGAATCTCAGCACCTCAGGTTTCCATTCAGGGACCCTGGGCGGCCTTTTCACTGCAACGTTAAAGAGTCCACGCAGCGACCAGATGAGCTCCGAGCCAGAGTGCTTCCCCCCCATCCCACACTGCAGAACTTGAGACTTCTCATCTCGGAAGAACCAGAGGCCTCTGACATCTTCAGAACTCAGAAGGGGGGATTTGGGGGGTTTCTGCTTCCTCCCCTCGCGCCCCTGACCCCACCCTCACTCTGCTCTGGAGGCCCGTAGTTGCTTGTGTTGGCTAGGGAGGGAGGAAGGGCACTGGAAAGCGCACAGGGCCAGGGTAGGGGTGGATGGGGAGAGGGCTGGTTTACGATTCAAGAGTTGTTTGACGAGTTCTCATTACTTGGTGAACTGGAGGAAGAGGAGGAGGAGGACGAGGAGAAGTTCATCCCTGTGAGTCCTGGGGGGTTTGTGGCAGTGTTTTGTCCACTTAAACTTTTCCGGCACACTGGGCATGTGTCGTGCTTTGGGGATTTAAAAAAAAAAAAAAAAAAAAAAAAAAATCAGGAAAAAGGGTTAGAAATAAAGACATGGGAACAGCACAAGCAACAGTCTAAACTGACCCCAGCTGCCTCCTTCCTCAGCGGGTCAAAAGGCTACTTGTGCTCAGGTGTCACCAGCATTACACAGGTACATTTACTCAGAACAGCGCTGCCTGGAAAACTCCTGGGTTTTATAACATCCTCCTCGGAGCAAAGTGCCCCGCTCCAGTGTAACTAACCTGTTCCAGCCAGGGGACTATACAGCCGTTGTGGAATAGGTGATTGCAAGGTAACTGCCGGACGTTTTCGCCCACTGTGTAGTCTTCTTTACATACAGGACACTCCAACCCAGAATCTGTCAGGTCACAAAGAGAGAGGATGCTGAGAACAAAAAGGCTGAAGTAGGTATCCTCTCCCCCCAGCTCAGGAACAGTGGGACAGCTCCCTTCCCCAATCCAGCTTTTAACACATCCCCTTATTGTCCTCCCTTCGCTCACCTGGCTACTGCCCCTTCCACTCTCAACACTACCAGGTAGAAAGCTTTCCTCTGCCGCCCCACCACCTGGGACTCCACTTATTCCAAAAATCTCCCCACTCCTTTTGTTCCCTCCCTCAGTCTGCTGGGGTACGTGGATTATGCAAATATATGTATTTGGGTAACTCTGTCCGGCATCAGGCTATGCTGAAAATGACAGATTGAATGGTTATTCATGGCTAACATTTTTATGCAAGTCACATCACTGACAGCTATAGAGCAATCTCACACCACCGCAGGCAGGCAGCTGCCTGGCATTTTTACTCTGTTGCCTTCTAATCCTGCTACAGCCAGACAGCAAGGCCTAGCAGTATGCCAGCAAGAGCTGGAGTACACCACTCTTACCAACAAGCTATAGCAGAGCAAAATCCCCTAAGATGGAGGATGCCCAGCAGTTCTTGAAAGCTCTGCATTTTTAAGACAGACTGTCTTGGTCTCCCGTTTGATGAATTCTCTGACATTCACCCACACCCAGCTCTTACAAAATGAGACAGGTTTATTCCCCGCTGCAAATCCATCAGTTTTACAGAGCTCTCTTTTTTTCCGCACAAAGAGAGCCCTGCTTCATTCTTCCTTCTGAATTCTTTAGGCCTTCAAGAAATTATCAGGCACAAATGAAAAGCCCAAGCAGAAGGCAAACAAAAGCTTTGCAAAGCACTCTGCTGAGGGCTGCAGGCTACATACCTACGTGTTCCTGTGTTATCTGAGTGGTGGGGAGGGCCTGGATCTTCTCCTTGTCTGCTGGAGGCGGTCCGGTATTTTCAAACTGATTTAGTAACTGCAAGAAAAAAGATGGTAGAAAGTGCAGGAACGTGAAACAGGCTTGATGGGATATGGGAATCTGCTAGAACACAGCACTGCGCCACCACCCCCTCCCCTGCAAACCTGTGTCATGGGGCAGGTCAAGGTTAGGGGGGGGGAATGCACTAGTGCAGCTGCACCCCCTCTATGATTCCTTCTCCACCTAAAAAGTTTAAAACCAACTGCATCGCACTGGCAGCAGCAGTGAGGGAGTCTATTGACTTGATGGTTTATTATAATCTACCCAATTCCTTCTAAACTCTTCATTCCACAAGTGTTAATGACCCTCTCTTCTTTTTCATTGCCTTTCATAGATTGTAAAGTCAGAAGGGACCACAATGGATCGTGTCCGACCCCCTGCCCCTGGCAGGAAAGAGGACCAAGGTCAGATGACCCCAGCCAGGTGACTATCAAGCCTCCTCTTGATGTTCTACTAATCAAACTAGCCTTTCTTCTGCAATTCTGCTGCCTGTTAGATGCTCCTGGTAAAGCAGATCTATGTCACAGCCCGGCAGACTGTTTTTAACTCATTCCAATAAAGTTACGTTTGTTTTAGCTTTGATCTTAAAAATGCATACTATGGCTCTAGGTCCCTAGTATATGAGGAAAGCTTCTTGTTTCTTTTTACCTGGAGAAAGATGCGTGTTGTGTTATATGGGATGATGCACCATCTGCACCCTCCTTTTCAAAATCCTAGATCCGCCCCTGCCCACATCTAACTGCTGCCTAACTCCTGGTGTTTCACAGGTTAAATTCCACATCCATCACGATGGATACGGGTGATTTTGTAGCACTGCGTGGAGGGATAAAGGTTCCCTTGTGTTCTCAGCCCAGCAGCTGGCAACTCTCAACATGAGATTCAACATGCATGCTGTCACATCGGGGTTATAAAACTGTGTGGCATTCCGACTCTGCTCGCTGCAGCAAATTCCACAGGCTGAACCCACACTACAGGGCAAGTTTTCTTGGGATGTTTTTGTCACTTTTCTAATGGGTACCTGGGTTAAAAACCACTGTATGCATATGAGGGGTACAGTCAGAAGTGGCCCCTCTACCCCACTAAATCACAAATAGCTATACAAACAGGTCAGCTGCATCAGGCAGGTAAACAGTCCTTTCAGCCCAAGCTGAGCTCAGACTGAAACATGCCTCTGATCATGCTCTTCTTTCTACATGTTCTCAAACACATTGTTTCCTAAAGGACAGGTACCAAAAAGCCTCAGTGGCAGCAGATGTCACAGAGATGCCTCCTGCCAATACATTTCAGTAGGATGGATCAAGAAACAAGTGGCATTACCACCACAGGCAAGGCAGTGTTAACCAAACTCCCTAGGAAAACATCTTTTTATGTGGGTGGCTGAGGGTTGAAGGAGAATTGGATTCTCACTCTCCACCAGCCAAGACAGCTGTCGACTCATGTACACTCTTAGAACAGGGCTCTGATCCAGTACAAACCACTGCACACATCTCCCCAGCAGCACGAGAAAGGAGGGGCCAGCTTTACCTGTGTAATAATTGCATCCAAGCCGTTGGCACCCCAGGCATAGTCCATTGGATTCGAATGCAAGACTCCCCTTCAAGAAGAAAAGCAACAGGATATTAGTTTTCGCCATGGCTGTAAGCCAGAACACCCTCAAAAAGAGCAGCTTGTCTCTCCAACTCACCAAGGACCTATTCCTAGGTTCGGTATGGTAGTAGGTGCAATAATTCCATTCACCAACTGCTGTATAATTCTGAAAGACAACAATATTAAACACCACATAAGAACTAGAATACATCAAACCACCCTGAGATATACATGTATAGTAGCTAGAAAGATATCTGGCCTTAGTTGGGGCAAAACGGAGGGCAAGACTGGTGATTAGTTCTTCCTGTGGCAAGAACTTGGAGGATTTTATCTGGAGAGGGACTCTTTCTGATGTGAAGGCAGGAAGGAGCCTCTGGGGCATACTCAGAGAAAAGTCTCTAGCACTTATTCTCTAGCACTGATGACAGCAGCATTTCCAGCTGCTGACTGCAAAGCACACTGGGCCAGCAATGCCCAGGAGAAATCCAGCAGTGGCAGGAAAGTTTCATGCCACTCTCCTTCCAAGGAACATAACGGACTATATTCTTAAAGAAAAGAAACAGGACACATGAATGGCTGCTTAGCCTGACAGCTCCTGAGGGTAAAATCTCCCAGGCATAGTCTTTTCCTTGGGAGGGAGAAACTGCAGGTTTAAGTACTGTAGAGCTCATGAAAATGAAGCCGAGCTAGTCAGTTTGATTCAAGATCAAAGCCAAATTAAGGGTTCTAATCCTGGATGAAATCTCCCGTTCCAGAAGTAGCAGTTTCAATAAGATGAAGTCAGGCATCTACGTAGGCTAATCAACCCCGACAGGCCTATTTAAAAACAGTCTTTAGGAACAGAATCTTCCTTACAGAGAGATAAAACATCACTGAGCAGGGCACTGTGAAGCTGTTCTCACCCTTCTAGCGTGGGAACTCCTTCATGCCTGCCAGCGGCACGCCGTGCGGTGAGACGGGCTCGGGGCTGCCGGGCCCCATATCGGTGCCGAGATTGGTGCTCCCTCTCCCGCCGGTTCTCCGTATCCCTGTTGTCTTCAGATTGCACATTGGACCCAAAAGCAGGAAACTCAAAGCTGTCATCAAAAATCCCAAAGGCAAATTGGCCATACCCCTGTGGCAAGGTGAATAAGTGCTGATCCACATTCTACAGGGAAAACATGCAAGAAGGCAGGCTGGTTACAAAGAGGGGGATTAAGCTTTTTCTTCTCTTACTGATACCGAGGTTCCCATAAAGGCCTTCGAAGAGAGCAGCCCACTCTCTGCTGATACCAACCAGCGTCAAGATGCAGCAGATGGGCTTAGGCTGAGAAGCAACTCCATGGTGAATAAATAGCACAGGCCAAAATTAAGCACAGCAATAGGAACCAACAATGTGTGATTGCTGCAGCTAACTGCTGACTTCTTAATTGCAACCACTGCACCAAAACACCCTGGCAAACAGTTCGATATACAACAGCACAGCCCCTCCTAACAATGACTGGGTATGTGGGCCAGAAGCACTAAAAAAGGAACCTGCTGACAATAATGCCATATTACAAGCATCTACACAGTGGCACTTTAATGATACTAGCCCCAAACGTTGGGCAGAGTCCAAGGGGTACAGACCCGGAGGGGCCGTGAAACAGCTATCGCTCACCTCGAATGGATGCCTGCTCTGATCGCTGGTCGCTGTGGAAGAGCTGGACCCATTGTCAGCATTCCTGAGAAGAGCAAACAGTATCGGTTAGCTTCAGAAATACCAGCCTGCTGGAACAGGTGATGGGGAAAGGCTTTTTCAAGGGAGGGAAGCAAGGAATGCGGCCTCAGCAAGGAGAACAGACAGACGGCCAGCATAGCAGGTCACCATCATGGGGATTTATGTTCTCATCAGCTGTTGTTCTCCACCGTAACTGCACACATTATGGTATGAAGCATTTTTATTGCAGTCCCTTCTTCCTATGTTCAGACCCCCCTGCCCCCCTCAGGCACATCTTCCCACTTTAGCTGCACAGTAGCAACTTTGCTGGTGAAAACCATCTGTAACACAGCACCTAAAGATTCACCACTACTTGCCATGCCCTTCTGCAATGCAGCTCAGTCCCCTGGAGCACCTGGAAAGCTTTAAGCGAGCACTACGTATCTACGTATTACAATTCAAAGTATGGCTTAACGCTGCTGTCATAAGCCAGCCCACTGAAACAAATCCCCTTGTCTGTCTTGCAAAGTTACGTGACTAGGGGATGAACCCTGATCAATAATTGAAAAAGAACCATTAGCATCACTTGGCTGTGTGCTTGCAAAGAGCTGTAGGAACATCCTTCGGTCCTCATTACCCACGCCTGCACTAGCTTATCGTTATTTAATAACAGAGCAAATGATGGTGCAGAGACCAAGTCGGATCAAGCCACTGACACTGCTAAGATTGATATGCAGACTCAAGATTAGGCTATCAGACCAATGCTGCCTTTTAGTGGAGATGGGCTGTTCTATAGCATTGGAAAACCAGCTGCCTTACGTTACAGGAATAGTTAATTACTCTACTGATGTGAGCAAAGTCTTGCTTATACGTCAAAGAACAAAAGAGCTTCTGACGTGCAGCCGCCTTTCAGAGCTGCTCTGCAAGTCAGCACTCAAACATCTTACGTGTAACCAGGTACCAACCTGCCTCTGACCCCATTACAGTGCCGTGAAGATGCACTGGGTTGTATGGAAAGTATTTTTACCTAGAAAAAAAACATGTTGCCTTGTCCTCGCGTACTACAACTATGCCTGCATCTTTGCTTTTTAAGAGCATACACTGCACCACAACACCCAGTGGTAAGAATGCCTCTCCTACTTGCTAACCCCTACAGACAGTGTAACTGCTGTAGGAGATTCTCCATGCTGTAGAGCTGGAATCGGTTTCTCCCACCTCCTTAGCATGAACAAGTTGAGTTTACTAGCCAAGAGACCATGCCTCATACCACGATGGTTGGGAAACAGGGCCAGCTTACGCATGGATGTAAATTCTGCGAGTTCAGTCTGATACAGCCTTAATGGTACGAGCGGATGGGCCCCCACAGTTTTCACCAAAAGCCGAATGCTGGTAGGAGCCACCAAAGTAGTAGCTATGGGACACGAAACCCGAGCACAGGATATGGAAACAGAACAGAAGAGCCTCGAGTTTGCACTAGTGGCAGCTTTCAAAAGCAGCGTGTTACCTTGGCTCCTCAGGAAGTTCTTCAATAAAACCAGACTCACACCTCGGGCAAATGTAGTCCTATAGAAAAGAAAAACCACATGAGAAAGGCGGATGCTATGATACCCTAGAAACAGTACCAGCCATCGGACAGGATGGAGAGAACCCCCCGTGGATGCTACAGCTAGCCAAAGGCTCAGGGCACAGGCACCTGGCAGGGCCGAGCATGCAGCGCACTAAGAGCCAAAGCCACGAGGTGCTTCACACATCCCAGCCTCCACTGTGCTTTAAATCCCCAAGAAATCTGCTGGTTTGAACCGTTCTGACAAGGAGGAAGTAGGCAGCTTTAAGGATTAATGAGAGTAAGACACAGGATCATAGCCCTGCGCACTGCAACCTGCAACCCCATCCACACAAAAGTGAAAGGACTAATTAAAAACCGGTCTCATCTGACTCAGATCACACCAGCAACCCACAAGAGCAGCAGTGAAGGAAGCTTACTGCTCCAGAGGAAATGCCACTTGTTCCAGTTACTGCTTTCCAGCCCCTCCCTTGTAACCCTTCTCCAGACTGAGCAGGCTTAGCTAGTCTCCGAGAGAGCTTCTTCCCTAGTATCCTCGTTTGAAGACTCCCCAAATATTCACTTGGTGCTTTCTGATTGCAGGAAGTTTTGCAATTCTTACCCCTCAATAAAAACCATCCTCGAGCCCCACTTAACAGAATAAGGGGTGCCCCCTCTGCCTCTTTCCACCTGCTCAAAATGCTGCAGAGATCTGCCGCAGGCTGCTCTTCCAACCAGACGCGAAGAGGAAAACTGCTATAAAATCACAGTTGAACTGCTCTCGATTGCATGGAAGTTAGAGACCACATGCAAGTATATAGCACAACGTGTCAAAACATTTGAAAACTACTGGCCTCTGCTTTGATCTCCCTAGCCAAGCTACTGAGCTGCTTGGAGCAGACTTTAGAAGCTGTTCAGAGAAAGGCGGTGTAACGAATGCTGACGAAGCTGCGGGCAAAGTGAAAGCAAAACCACCAGACTTCCTGGCAAAGCAGCGTGAATTTGCATTCGTTTCAAAATGGCTGGTTGGTTGGCGGGGGCAAGCTGTCAGAGTTTCCGCACGTGTTAATTATAAAGTTGCCAGCACTTGGGGAGAACTACAGGGGAAAACAATTACCAATCAAGTCTGGGTTTTACACCGCACAGAGGCTTCCAGGAGACGCCAGTGAATTACTGTGTACCACGCACACTAGAATTATTCTCCCCATTCCTCTATTCATCAGGGAGACCTGCGACCATCAACCGACACTTATACTATTGAAGACTGAGCTTTTTTACACCAAAACCACAGTAGCAGGATTCCTCAGGACTGTTTTCTATACCCGTCTTTCTTGTTATTCCCAGACTTGGCCAAGAGCTTGTATTTAATGACTCTTTCTGGAACCTGAACATACTTCTATGCCAAAAGAAACCCTATATTTAAGTACTTAAGATCACATGAAGAAATCACTTCACTTGTCACTGCCAAGCCATGACTCCAAACAGCGCACAATGCAGTGCATTTTAGGACAGAAAGTGAATTAGGTCATGCCCCACTGGACCCATACAGAATATTTAAAGGCAGGCCAGAATATTACTTAAGCAGAATCTAAGCCGGACATAGGGGCTAACAGCAGGAACTCACTTATTTGACTTTATTTAGTATTAATGTCTGCTTTAAAAATGTAGCTGCTGCATACCCATCCTTTTTCTGCTTGTGGGACTGTTCTGCCTACAAAGATATTTTGATTAAGACCCAAGGTCCTTGATTCGCAAAGACACAAATGGTTTGGCATCACCCAGACAAAATCTGTCCTCAAGAGATGGGGGAAGAGTTTCCTGTAAGGCCCCATTTACACACCACAATGCTGGACAGACATTTGATCCTGCCCCTGCTTGCTCAGGAAGAAAAGTGATACCGAGACACCACCCAGCTGCTAAGCATGGCCAAAGAGGTTAAGAGCAAAAAAATGCTGCTTCCTCGTCCACACAAAGCTCTCGAGATCTGCCACGACCCAAAGATCAGTTCTACACAATTTCTGCAATCGTCTGCATTGCAGAACGGTCCCTGCTTCGCTCCAGGCCCTGCGCGGGGTTGGCACACACGCGCAAAATCAGATCCGTTCCTTTGCTCTTTGGCATAATCTCCACTCGGCTCCATTTCCGCCAGTTGCCCCACGCAGCTAAGACTTTATAAAACCAGCTTAATCCACACCGAGGAACTGCAACCCTGCTCAAGAGAAGCAAGCGGTTTATTCCTCTTGGCTTTCCTATTACAGGGAGGTACTTCTATATATATATATATATTTTTTTTTTTTTTTTTTGCTTACGGACAACTCTGAAAAGAGCAATCAGCAAATTCTTTGGAGGCTGGAACAGCACAAGCACAAATGCCAAGTTTGCTGGCCCTCAAACTGCTAAAATCTTTCCTTTTGTAGCACACACAGTGACAGCTTCACTCGGGCAGTTTAATTTGCTGTCAGGAGGAGCAACTTCAATAATCCGGACGTTGGACGTGGCTACTTTCTCAAGCACCAGCTGAACTGAACCTGGATTTGGACCAGGTTGGGGACAGGCAACTGTTGCTTTCACCTCTGCAAGGTTCGCTCCGAGGCACTTGGGGTTTCACGCAGGGTAGTGACCAATGCATCAGAACGGATTTCCAGTGGCAACATAAAGGCTCCCTAAGCATCCTCCATCTGAAGCGTGTTGAACAGGAGTGTATCATATGGTTAGCCCTCAGACGATATCTAGGTGTCAGATGTCTAAAACAGGCTTCACTTCACCTATTACATGAAGGTAGGTACCTCCAAGGTGAACAAGTAGGCAGATGTGGCAGTACTTGAGCTAGGATCTGGCCACAAAAGTTGTCTTTCAAACTTCTGCAAGAGCTCCAGCATCTCAGAAGCGGCCCTTCCAGTAGCACAGAAACCAACAAGCCACGCGGGGCCACCAGGTTCGGCAATGACTCACCGCCATCTTCCACAACGTGCTAAATTTCCCTGAAGTCATCCAGTCAAGTAACAACTAGTCTTTCCCTCGGTCAGCTCATGAATTGCCAACCAGAAGAGGTTAAAAAAACGGAAAAACCCACACGCCTCAAACAGTCTCACTTCTTATTTTAATCTAGTCCTTGGGTAGAAATACCAAGACCGTCCTTGAACAGGGAGCTGCAAGAGCCTGAGAAGCCGCTGATTTAAAAGCTTCGGTTATTTCAAAAACATAAATTAAAACGTAACAGCAACCTCAACTCACCCCCAACGGTGGTGGCCTTAGGGCCCTGGGCAAGAGAGTCATTTGGGGCCCCGCAAAGGCTTAATTTTGATGCCCGATAAACAAGTCGGACGCATGCTGCAAAATCTTGGGGCCGCCTAAAGTGTGCAGGGCCCTTCAAGGTTTAATTCTGATGACCTATAAGCAAGTCTGACACGTGTCACAAAACTTTGGGCCTGCCTAAAGTGTGGGGGGGCCCTCAGAGGCTTAATGTTAATGACCTATAAGCAAGTTGCAAAATTTTGCCCCCCTAAACTGTGGGGGGGACCTTAGAGGCTTGATTTTGATGACCGATAAGTAAGCTGGGCATTTCTTGCAAAATTTTGGGGGCTCCTAAAGTGTAGCAGGGCCCTTACAGGTTTAATGTTGATGACCGATAAGCAAGTCTGACATTTTTTTTTTTGCAAAAGTTGGGGGCTCCCTAAAGCGTGGGCGGCCTCTTAGAGGCTTAATGTTAATGACTTATAAGTTGGATATTCGTTGCCACGTTTCGGGGAGGACGCCGCTGCCCCGAAACGAATCCCACCGTCTCGGGCCGCCCGTCGAGGCGAAGCCCGGCACCTCTGCAGCCCGGATCTGTCCCAAACCACCCGCTCCCCCATCTTCTCAAAACCAGTCGTTCCCGCGACACGGCCCCTCTCCTTCCCCCGGAGCCGGGCGCACAGGGGGCCGGCGGGCCCTCCCAGGAAGCGTCTCCGAAGCAGGCCGGGACGGGGTGATGGGGGGGAGGCTGTTATACCGCTCCCTCCCCCCACCCTTGAAATGTCAAATCTGTTTTCACCAGGGAAGAAACCGCCGCCCGGGCCGGGCCGGGCCGGGCCCACGTGTCCGCCCGCCCGCGCCC